TAAGTATAGTAAGGGGAGGAATAGGAGAAGGATTCTTCCTAAAGTCCACAATCATCTCCATTCACCCCACCTCGCTATACAGAGATTAATTTTAGCAGCTGCAATAACCTCACACCTCCTTCCCATCTTTCTGTTAAAAAAAGAAGCTGCTTTTGTTGTTTTTACGTCTGATTTCCTCGTAGAAGTTCTCCAAATTCAAGTCGGGTATCACTGAATAAATTGGCTGAATAAAGAAATAAATTCCTTCTCGCCACTCCATAGCTGGACGCAATATTTTATGCTTACCCACCTCCATTGGGAGCCCCCCTAACATGCTGGTTTTGCCATGTGATTATTCTGGAGAAAAGAGAGGCCTTGACCTGCTTTTCTCTATCTGATTTCTTCCCCAGTTGGATAACCGCAAGTTTACGATACATCCTCAGCTTCCTCCAATAACTGTCTTGGAGCAGAAGGATTGTCAGTGGGTTCCTAAAGACAAGAACCTGTGAGTTACGGCTACCGATGGTTTATTCTGCACTTATTTACAAGCTGTCCTGCGGTAATATTTGCACACACGCACATGCGGCGTACCGCTTCCTTTAAGCAATGGGAATGCAAAGCGCAGAAAAGGAGGAAGAAATAATAAGGCTAAGAAATTAAAGGCATGAGATAAGGGGGGGAAAGAGGAAGGATAGCTAAGGCTAATTTATATCAACACCCTTCACTAGAAAGGCATACCATCTTTATTCCCACATCTCTGTGCACCGATTCACGGGCTGCCTTTTCTTATTTAAACTTGTCATCCCTCTTTCAGGATCTCATCAGTTCCATCCAGCTATAAGTTTCTGAGTTTTCCCTTGTTGTCAACCTTTTCCGGTAGTCCAGACTGAGAAACTAAAATCATGAACTACTTTTATTGTAAGGTTACAGTAACCGAATCTTGCAAGTACGAAAGCACTTCCGCCTTGCCTGCCTTTAGGTTCCAGAGAATTTGGGAGGGTCGATTCTGAGACACTTTCTCCCCTCCCATTCCTGCTCTGGACTCCAGGTTCTCTTCTCAGACCCGCTTCTTTTTGTATTTACAAATAGTCCTCAATCTACGGCCATTCGGTCAGCGACTGTTCCGAGTTACGACGGCGCTAAACAAATGATTATGACCGGTCCGACCGTCCCAGCACTCCTGCAGTCACGTGATCTCTATCTGGGTGCTTGGCAACCGGTTCGCACTTACGACCAGTTGCAGCGCCCCACAATCATGCGATTGCCATTTGCAACCTTCCCTGCTGGCTTCCCCAGAAAGTGAATGGGGAAGCTGGCACGGAAGGTTGCAAGTCGCTGGGGTAAGTCTCTGCCACCTGCACACGCTCCCCCAGCCTGTCTGCACTTTCACACCCTTGCACGCCTGCCTGACCCACAGTTAAGCAAATCACTGCAGTCATTAAGCAAGACATCACATGACTGCAACTTGCAATTTTACTTCTACGTTCTCCATTAACTCTGCTTGTCACAAACCAGTAGCAAAGCACATAAATGGCAATCACATGACCACGGGACCCTGTAACAGTCATAAATCCGAGGATTGGTCATTAAGTTACTTAATGGTCACTAAGCATGGCGGTTGGTAAGTGAGGCCTACTGGTAGTTATGTCGGACAAGTTCAGGAATGATGCCAAACTAAGCAGGCTTGTCTTTCCCATTTAAAAAAAAATGTTTTTTAGAGGTCCATGGCCCCCAGTTTATGAAGCCCTGCATTCGGTTAGAATGGGGCTTGATAGGTTTCCACTGGTTGTGTACTGTGAACCCATCCCCTACGGTGGGTAAAACAGAGTTTACAGATGAGTACAACGTGAGCTCAGCCAGTTGTGGTTTGCTTAATAAAAGAGGGTTAAATAAACCATGCCTTAGCCAAGGGGCAGACCTGGGACAAAGAGGAAGTCGTCCCTGCCCCATCGGCTGAATCCTGGCGCACTTCTGATCTTTTCAGGGTCATGTGGACCGACTGGGAATCCTCTCGACACATTTGCAAGTCTCTCCTGGAGGCCAAAGTTTATTCCCAATTGGTTGACTTTGACAGCCACCTGGATGACATCAGACAAGACTGGACCAATCAGCAACTGAATACGGAAATCGCCCAGTTGGTGTCCGTCGCCAATGGCAGCGCGTGAAGGAGAGCAGATTTGCCGTTGTCTTCCATGGCCCCCTCCAGCACTTGGTTCGTCAGGGACATCCAGAACGTTGGACGAGTCCAGATAGCAGCTAGGACCGTGTGACCGGAGCCCCGCCCCTTTTTATGGCATGGCCGCCATCTTGACTTTTTTGCCCTCCCCGTCCCCCAGGTAAATGCCTCTCCTCGTGAACAGAACGGATGGATTTGCAACTGGTCTCTTTATTTATTCCACCTTTGGAAAAGATTTACCCCAAATGTTCTTGTGTGAAAAAGAAAGGGGGGGGTTACCGCACCCCCGCCCGTTTTATCCAGCGGATAATTTCAGACGATCTCTACCATCCGTGCTGCTAGATTTTATATTTATCAAGCCTGCGTTTGTAAACGCTTCTAACCCCAAGGGAGAAGCGCTGCGGCATTTCTTAGCTTAAGACCTGAATTAAATGTTCCCCTCGACGTGTTTTTAAAGATCTGTTTATTTAAAGGGGATTGAGTTGATCGGGAAAGGAAGAGGGTACGGGATTTGTGGGGGGGGGGCGGTTTCCTTCGGTCCCGATCACCGGCTGATCCATTTAGTAGATCATCCCTTTGTTTTCATCCCGGGGTTTCTTGATCTTGTCAAAATTCTTCAGGACGCTGTCGTAGACCACAGCCTAGGAAGAGAGAGGAGAAGGGGGTTTAAGAGGGGGCCTGGGTAGGTCAGAAAGAAGAGAAAAACTCAAAGGGCTAAGGCAGTGTTTCTCAATCTTGGCAACTTGAAGAGGCGTGGACTTCAACTCCCAGAATTCCCGAGCAAGTCCACACATGCTGGCTGAGGAATTCTGGGAGTTGAAGTCCACACCTCTTCAAGTTCCCAAGGTTGAGAAACCCTGGGCTAAGGAGTAAACTTCTTGAGGTATCTTCAAATGAAGCCCTTTCATGCACTTTTTGGCCCAAGGCTTCCTGCTGCGCAGAATTTCACTCCAAACCTAGCCTCTGCTGACCCACGGCTCGATCCTGGGACCCCCACGAATCCAGTGTTTCTCAAACTCGGCAACTTCGAAGAGCTGTGGACTTCAGCTCTGGAAGTCAGACAACTTTCATCCAGTCTCCAACCTTCCCAGTTTGGGGGAAGGCTGTCGAGAGGGTGGTTGGCACGCCGCTTCAGGGGGCCCTGACAAAGCAGATTATCTGGACCTTTTTTAGGCGGGGTTCAGGCCAGGGCACAGCGCCAAGACGGCATTGGTCACGCTTGCTGATGACCTTTGGAGGGCTCAGGACGGACGTGGCGCACCTCCCGTGGACTCCTTGGCAGTTCTCGATAACATCAACCATGGTATCCTGGACTGGCTCTTAGGGGTTGGGAGTGGGGGGCACCATTTCTCCTTTTTCATGGCCGGTTCCAGTCGGTGCTGGTGGGCGAGAAGTCGAGCCCTAGGCCCCTGCAGTGCGGGATGGCTTGGCTCAGGTCTATCCCTCTCCTCTTTAACATCTCCATGAAACCGCTGGGTGAGGTCATCTGATGGAATGAGGTGTGGATGATACCCAGCTATACATCTGTACCCCTCGCCGGACATGTGACACAGTTGCGGTCCTGTCCAAGTGCCTGGAGGCTGTAGGGGTCTGGATGGGGTTGAACCGACTTCGGCTCAACCCTGGCAAGATGGAGCGGCTTTGGGTTTTTGGCCCCCCGGGGTCTGGTGACTTGTCATCTCTGCCTCCGGATGGGGTTGCACTCCCCTGGACCGGGCTGGTGCGCAATGTGGGGGTCCTCCTGGACTCACAACTCCTACTTGATGAGCCGGTGGCAGCCGTGGCTGGGGGGCCTTTGCACCGATCTGTCTTGTGCACCCTTTCCTGGACCGGGAGGCCTTGCGCAAGGTCACTCGTGGCTTAGTCACTTCCCAGCTGGATTACTGCAATGCGCTTTACATGGGGCTGCCCTTGAAGACCACTCGGCAGTTACAACTGGTCCAGAATGCAGCAGCACATGGAATATTGGGTGTTCCTAGGTTTGCCCATGTTACACCTCCGTTGTGCGAGCCACACTGGCTCCCAGCGTCCTTCCGGGTGCAATTAAAGGTGCTGGTCTTCACCTTTAAAGCCCTACATGGCACGGGATCCAGTTATCTGCAGGACCACCTCTCCCTAAGAATATCTGCCCATCCCACTAGATCAGATAGGGTAGGCATACTCCGGATCCTTCCCTGAAATCCTGCCACATGGGTTGCCTTTTCCATAGCTGCCCCTATTTTATGTTTTTATGGTTATGTTTTATAGTTACTGGTTTTACTGCTGTTGCGAGCCGCCCAGAGTTGTTTCAGATGGGCGGCCATGCAAATCTTTTAAATAAATGATTAAACAACAACTCCCAGAATTCCAGTGTGCTGGGGGATTCTGGGGGTTGAAGTCCACGCCTCCTAAAGTTGCGAGGTTGGGAAACGCGG